CGAATCTCTAGGATTTATGAGGAGCTTTTTGGTGATAATTGAAGAGGATATGTTGGGCTTTCCAACAGTATCCAAATCCGACGGTCTTGGTAGTCGGAAGTGGCCAAAAAAACATCGCAAAACTTGCCCAAAAAATCTGAAAATTCAGTAACCGTTTGTGAAAGAAATTTAAACTTCAGTGACCGTTTCTGCAAGTTTTAAACTTTAGTGACCGTTTTGTGATTTTCAGGTAATTTCAGCGACCATTTGTGAAATTAACCCAAGTTAAAATTTTATTATATTATCTAGCGTGTGATGGGAAAACGACAAGTGTCAGATTTTACCGAATCAAGAAGCATCTCAATCAAGTTTGTCGTAGCCATCGCCACAACTCCTGAATCTTTGGATGACTCAATCCGGGCACTAGAGGCTTTAAAATAATTTGCCTTGGGAAAAAGCATGTCATGGCTATTTCGATTAATTAAATATCTCCCATCAGTTGGGGACTTGATCCATACAGGTTCTTTTATTTTTAGAAGTCGCACCAATTCATCCATAGCAGCAGCAGCGGTTCCAATAATGATTGACTTCTCCATCTCTTGTAATTCCCTCAATTGAAACTGTGAGGCGATATTTAGTGAACTCCGTAGAATTTGTTCGGTATCAAGGGGAGGGCATCCCGTCCTTTGACCAAAAAAATGTTTTCTAGGAACACTTAATGAAGATCCAATACCAAGAGATTCCATTTGTAAAAAAGCAGGTAATTTTCCCTTCATGCTGGAATATGAGTTAAGCATTCGTTCGCGCTGCAAAATGTACCAAAAATGAGTTCACCCCTCGTCTTTCAAGACTTATCTACACAAATGTACTTTTTCCTTGGGCACGTAATAAAATCAATGATTACCTTCTTTTGTACTAATTATTTCTCAACTTTCTTCTTACAATTTCTCTAGTTTATAGCTTTTTAACCTAGCAGAATACTCTTGCATGGAGAGTCACCCTTCCACCTCCACATCCAAGCCCACCACCTACCCACCCACCAACCCAATAGACCCCGACCAAGACACCGGCCTCACGCCACCAAACCATGGCCGCTCCGGCCATGGAAGACACGAGCAGGTGGCGGCCCTAGGTGCAAACCCTAGCGCCGTCGCTCAAGTTCTTCTTCAACAGCCCACTTTCTGGCCTCACGCGCCTGACCGGAGGGAAGAACGTGCCATTTCGAGCCCGACGAAGGAAGCACCATTTCTGGGCAGTGCTCCGGCAGCGCGTGAATCTCACGCGCCGACGGTGCGTGCGCCACGCACGCAGGCGACTGGGAGACAGCAGAACCTGTGTGATCTGCCCAGGTCATTCCAGCACCCAGTTCTACTGTCAGACGCACCATTTCAACGACATGCGGAAATGTTTGGTACAAAGGAGTTTAATCTTCGATTTGGAGTGGAAGCAAAGGAGTTTTTTGTGTCTATTAA